ATGCCAAGAATGAAATACAAAATCCATAAAAAGGAACAGAACAGATGATGTTCACTCAGCTCACCAACTGCTCAAAAAGAGCCAGAAATACTTTAATCCAGAGGGAGCTTCTAAAAGGAAAATTTAAAAAAATGGCGCTTCCCTTCGTTCACAACATACCCGAGATGGCACTGATGAGGAGGTGAGCAGCTGAGAAGAGTTCTTCATCCTGAGGCTGGTACTTCTGTAACAGCTCATCCTGTAAACTGCAGCCTAAGAGCTTCAAGATGTCAGCAAGGACTGCAAGTTCATCAGGTTTTAACTCCTTCAGATCTGGCTTGTCTCCTGTGCGGATATCATCTAACTTTAAGCAAAAGAGTAAGTAAAACTTCTTGAAAAGATAAAAGCTCAAACAAAAGAAAATACTAGCTCTATCCTGAAATTGCTTTTAGGAAGCAAGCAAGAGTTTCTTCATCTTACCACGTCCTCCAGGGTAGTTAGCATTTCTTCATGGAGCAAGAGTTCACAAATGGTTTTATATAAAGTTCTTTGCCTGTCTTCTGTCAGCTTCACAAAGGGCTGGAACTGAGTCTTCAGCTGTCTCAGATCTTTCCCAAGAAAGCAGTAAAAAGTAAAACTAAGTATTTCTACACACATGCCAGTAAAAACTGTTCGCATTTTTGCTATGTGTCTCATAGGCACTTCCATTTATCACCACATCTTGACATTCTGATTTCCATCAGCACAAGTTATAAACCAAGGCTGGAACACATCTGATTATACTTCCCTAATGACCCAATGTAAAATCTCTAGAAAGAAGAACAGCTATCACGGATCAACTTCAGTGTTCCAACATTCTTAATATTTTAGAATTCAGTATTTTAATGTTAACTGAACTTCTTTACTGTGAGGGTTACAGAGCACTAGAACAGGCTCCCCAGAGAGGTTGTGGAGTCTCCTTCTCTGGAGACTTTCAAGACCTGTCTGGATGCCAGAGTGATCTGCCCTAGTGTTGGTCTTGCTCTGGCAGGGGGGTTGGACTTGATCTTCAGAGGTCCCTTCCAACCCCTAACATTCTGTAATTCTGTAACCATATATCAAGCTTCTGACTTGAAAGTTCATTTCCAGAGAATGTTCATTTATAAGGCAGAATGAAGAGTTCTTCTCATAATCTTACTTCTTAATCTGGGAGTTAACAGGAACTACAAAGTCAATGGTTTAAGTCCACAGAGAGAATTAAAGGTTCTTACTGTGATACTAAATTGTTATTATCCTAATATTTCATCAGGAGCATCAAAGAATTACACCCCTTTATCCCTGACCTCAAAAGACTTACTACAAAAATCAGGACAAAAATCTCTTCTTGATTGAAATAGTGACTCCATTACAATAAATACAACAGAATCACAAGAGAGGTCACTGTGCTTCTTTCTCCACAATTCAACTATGACACTAAAGCAAAATATTTCATTACATCAAAGTACTATTTTGCTAAAAAGAAAGTAAGTTTTCAAGTCAATAATGCCGACTGGAAGGTTGGAATGTGTTTTTCCACATTCCAAAAGCATGGGCATGCAAGCGTTCTTAACCATGTTTGAAAGAAATTTCCCTTCATGTCACTCCAGTCAAGAAACACGTTCTCTTTAAAGATGCCTTTTATATCTAAAAATTACCTCACTGGGAAAAAAACAACAAAACAGGAGTCCAGCCATAGGCAGTTAATCTTTGTACCTCATGCAATCATATGACTGTCTATTCAAATAACAGCAAAAGAAACCTACTTTAAATTGCTTTAGTAGAAACAATTTTGTTAGTGTTTTTTCCAAGTTCAGGTTAATGAATTAAAAGAAACCTCCAAACCCTTGAAGCAAGAAAGGCACAGAAGTATGTCAAGCTAAAAAAAACAACACCAGTGGCATGGCATTCTTTCACAAATAAGTGGTTTTTTATATACACATGGAGACACAGTTACCTCTTTGAAACCAGTCTACATTGGAGAATGACAGAATTTATCTGGGGACAAGAAATACCTACAGTTCGTCTGTTGAACAGGCAAAATTTAGAGATAAGAGAAGTGACGTTAACTGTTAAAACAAGTTGTAAGAATTCTGCCAAGAACTGATGAAAAGTAAAGTGTGTTCTGAGGCCTTGGTTTGTTTTCCCCTTCTTCATTCCTCTGGTGACAATTTTGCCCCTTCCTTCCACATTCCTAAAACATATCAATTTGCAAACTTCCATTTAAATAACATTTTTATTTCATCAGCCTTGGCTGATACTGAAGATTTCTATAAAGATTCTCAGAAAATAATCAAGCTAACAGAAGGCAGGGGTGATGTTGCATTTTTAAGACTTAACCTTTAACTGAGAAGTTTTACTGAGAGCATTTTCCAAATAATGGAAAAATATTTTCAGTAACTCTTTCTGAAAGCATAAATCATCACTAATCTTATGGAGCTTCCCTGGAATGTAACAGAATTGGCATAAAAACCTAATTTTGTAAGATCATACAAATGACAAAGGGATTCAGGATGTCCCTAGGGAACAGTCCACTGCATATACCTATTGCAGAAATAAATTTTTCTGTTCTGTCAGTGCATTCCCCTAAGAGCCCTTGACAAGGGCTATTAAAATGAACTAATATGATTTCTTATGTACTATTGTACCTGCTTATTACCTCCTATCATGTTCCTTAACTCACTGTAATGTAATAATGTAAAGTATTTCTGATAATACCTTGTTTCAATACACTTAAAGAAGCATCACTGGGAATGAGGTTTTTAGACCCAGAGAACATCTCATGATCAACAGCATCTGGCTGATACAGAAATGAAGCATCTCTGAATAGTGCTGAGTGGGGAGAAGCTGAGCCTTCTGTGCTTTCCTTTTCAAAACCTCCTTGCTGTTCATCTAGCAGACAGAACTCTGTAATTAGAAGAGATTTTAAAAAATATTAATAAAACACACAATCCACTACTGAATGAGATGCTAGCTTGCATTATCTAGTGTCCTTGCATGTGAATGCTCCATGTCTTGTCTCTTTCTAGATGGGAAGAATGCCAGTGGTTGCTATGTGTGTGAATTACTGAGCATTACTGCAGCCCTCATGTTTGATACAGTGTGCACAGACAAAAGGTCCTGTGGTGTAGCTACCAACTACAAAATGTGACACAAGCTCCTGTGCTCCTGTGAATTTAAGTAATGTAGACAGCAAATGAAAACTTCTCACCAACACCATAAGCCTGAATGCTCCAAACAAGAGATGCAGGAAGGAATTTTTCACATTTTCTACCAGTTAAGAGACATGCTGTATGCTGGCTACAGGGTCCACTCACGATGGAGACAGATGAAAGCACTTTCTAAGATTCATAAGAACTCTGAGAATCCCTCAAAGACCTGCTTTTGGCTATGGTACTCTTCCTGAGCCAAGTCACAGTTCTCAAGTTCTCCAGACCAGTAGAAAACAGGAGGCTTTTCAAGTTCTCTAAGGGACTTCACCCAGCCATGTTCACTAACAGAACCACTCTGCACTATGTAGTGAATCTCTGAAGTAAGTTTGTGACGAAAATAACACACCCTGGCTGGATAATAACACACCCTTTCTGCCTCATCTTAATGACAAGCACTGGCCTACCTCACCCAAACAGGACTGTAGACTTCCTGCCATCCCAGACCCCTCAACTTGACGTAGCAAAGGGACCCCTGGTAGGTACACAAGGAACCTTTGGAAGAGTTTTGCTGAGAAACCTGGAATTTCATGTTCTGTGCTCATGTGTCCAATACTGTGCCCCAAAGATGCAGAATATAATCAAAGCCCTATGTATTATTTTTATCATCTTTTAATTGGCTCAAATACAAGATTTGAAACTATACCCCTGGCACTCTGCAGCAGGTCTGAGGAGAATACAGGCAGGCTAGCAAGAATAACTCAATTTTAAGGTAATACTTGACAGCAAAGGGGAAAAAAAAAAAAAAAAGCAACCAATCAAGAACAGTGCTCACATGTACCAGGCACAAAACCTAAATATAACCTTCCTGCAGTTGTAAGAGTCTGTCTCACCAAATTAAGGACATTCAAAGCAGATGAGAGAGCATGGAGAGCACTCCATCAGCAAAAAGCTTTTTCAAAGGGAGAGCAGACAAAGAAATTTCTGCCACAAAGAAAGACAACCGAGACCTTTATGCCTGCACAACCCTTCATGTAGAAGAGTGAGCTGCACAGGGGCAGAAACACAAACTAAAGAACCTTCCAAAGCAACAAGACTCGGCGCAGCAGCTGAGGCACCACCAAGCCAACATGCTCACATTGCTTCCATTGATAGTAACAAGGTTTTCATACAAACCCTGAGGGAGGAAGACAGTGCTAGTAGATTACCTGCCCTAAGGCAGGGTGATGCTAACGAGGGAAATCAATACATAGCATCAAGTGAAAAGTTTCTAGAGTTTTTAGATAGACCTTGCTGTTAAATCTTGTAGCAGGACTCGATTTGGAGGAAAATACAGGACTATGAAAGTTTTGTATCAATGGGACCATTAATTAATTTTGTATCTCATTAATTTGTCATAGTATTAAAAAAAAAAGGAAAGTGAAGTGAATGAAAGAATACACACAATACTGTGATAACTTCTCCACTGAAATCTATTACACCCATAGATGACAACTCTCCAGTAGTGCAGTTAGATGGAAGAAAACCAGAGACAATCAATGAAAACAAGTAAAGAGACTTCTTTGTGTGGAGAAGCTGAAAAGATTGGGATTTGTTTAATTTACAGACATTTAAAAGGAAGCAAGTCACATATACATAGCAAAAGCAAATCAGCTGGGTGCTACTATACCTCCTGTTTGTAAAGCAAGCACAAGAGGATTTGCAGTGGGACTTTAGAGACACAGACTGCAAAGCCTTTAACAGGAATGGCTTTTTCTTGTGGTAGAAAATTAGCCTGTAGAAGTCAAACAGAGTGATTACAGGAAAACATTATGTTAAAGGGATGAGAAAAAGACTAGACCTTTTTATTTTTTTTATATATATATTTTTTTTAATTTATAAACATGTTCAAGCATGTCCAGTCACATTAGCCAGAACATTTAAACTAAGGTTTTTATACTATTATTTCTGATAGAATAACTCAAGCACTATCAGTGGCAAAGAAACAAAAAACCCCTACATGCACTTTATTCCATAATTATCCTTTAAGAGAATCCCATTATCTTACCCCTGCTACTGGTCACTTCCAGTCTCATGTGAAAGGACTCCATTAGTCTTTGAATTTAACTTCAAAGGCTATTTTTATTTCCATGAACAGCCACTGATCACTGCTCAGAGATTAAGAAGTTGAAGGTTATGCTCTACCCAACATATTCCTGATGAAAAATCCCTGATTTTGTTATTAATTCCCCAACTTTACCTTTTATATGACAGTCAGGCAAAGAGAGAGAGCACAAATTTTTTAAAAAAATAAATAAAGAAGAAAAGAGGCAAGACATAGGTTGCTTGAGATAAAAAATTAAAACAAGATGTGCTGGTTCTGATGCTTGAGAGAAATATTCGTCAGCAATGTGAACAGTGGCATTGAAAGCACCCTCAGGAGGTTTGCTGATGACACCAAGCTAAGTGGTGTGGCTCACAAGGTGTGGTGCAAGGTCCTCCACATGCATCAGGGCAATCCCAAGTACAACTACAGGCTGGGTGGAGAATGGATTGAGAACTGCCCAGAGGACAAGGACTTGGCGGTACTGGTTGATGAAAAGCTCAACATGAGCTGGCAATGTGTGCTTGCAGCCTGGAAAGCCAGATGTGTCCTGGGCTGCATTAAAAGAAGCATGGCCAGCAGGCCAAGGGAGGTCATTCTCCCTCTCTAGTCCTCTCTTGTGAGACCCCACCTGTGTCCAGTTCTGGAGCCCCCCCAACACACAAAGGACATGGAGCTGTTGGAGCAAGACCAGAGGAGGGCCATGAAGATGATTCAAGGGTTGGAACACCTCTCCTATGGAGACAGGCTGAGAGGGTTGGGGTTGTTCAGCCTGGAGAAGAGAAGGCTCCAGAGAGACCTTACAGCAGCCTTGCAGTGCCTGAAGGGGCCTGCAGGAAAGCTGGGGAGGGACTTTTTACAAGGGCTTGTAATGAGAGGACAAGGGGTAATCGCTGAAAACTGGAAGAGGGGATATTCAGGTTAGACAACAGGAAGAAATTCTTCCCTATGAAGGTGGTGAGACACTGGAAGAGGTTGCCCAGGGAAGCTGTAGCTCATCATTGATGTGTTCAAGGCTAGTTGGATGGGATGTCTGCCCATGGCAGGGAGGTTGGAACTAGATGATCTTTAAGGTGCCTTCCAACTCAAACCATTCTATGATACGATTCTATGATAGGAAATAACATTAACTCTGAAAGAAAAAAAAAAATTGAAAAAGAAGTGGAAAAAGAGCAGAGAAATACAGATCATTAACAAGGCACGTGCATACTAGCTAGTGGACATAGAAATTTCCATCTAGAAATTACATCAGTACGCTCTCAGCTATACATCTATGTAGTCAGACAGCCTTAATTGTACCTGATTACTCTGAATTACAGCTGTATTATACCACAAAGTCAATGCCCTCTACTCTATCTCTGCATGCAATTTATGTCAGAGCAATTCCACATTTCAGAATTTTTTTTACAGGTTACATTATCTTTACTTACATTCCTGAACCTACTAACTTCCTTAATATCAGAAGTCAGTTAAAGGAGAACAATGGAAAGCATCTTCTGTGCTTCTTATCCAAATAAAGTGCATCCTGGATTCAAATCTCAACTGCACTTCAATTATGTCTTCAATTTATCTCCTGTTTCTCTCCATATCAGTCCCTTCCAACTTCCAGCCCTACACAGTCCATCTGATTTCTTCCCTTCTTGCATAACATCCCCTGAAACCTCCTTTAGGTCTGACAGCTTAACTGAGGATAGAGAAGAAGAAATCCCAAGTGATTCTGCAGAGCAGAGCTACTACTCCCCCTAAAGCCAATTTAACATTTTTTTAACTTGACACCTGAGAGTATTCAACCTGAAATAAGTAAAGCACAACCAGAAAACAAGACAAGGACATTCCTGCAACCATTCTGAGAACAATCTATATATGAAAGTGTAAAACAGACAGAACTTGACACTCTAGTCCTATACTTTACAAATAATTCTTTTATTAGCATGACTGTAGTTTAAACATTCCTGGTTTACCATCAACTTAGATTCAGTTCACTCTCCCTGCCAACAGCTGAAGGCAACAGCATGGGCTGAGGGCCAATTAGCTAGAAGCAAAATTGCAGAGAAAGACGTAGACAACAAATTTGAGAGGAACAGCAGTATGCCCTTGCAGCTATTGAAGTTTGCTGCATACTGGGCTGGACTGACAAGAATGTAGCTAGCAGATCAATGAAATGATTTTCAATTTGGTAAACTGCATCCAGACTGCTGTGTCCAGCTCCAGACTCCCCAGTACAAGACAGAAATTTACACACTGCAGCTATCCAGCAAACAGCCACCAAGGGGGGCTGAAGGACACCATGTATGAAAAAAGGCTGAGAGGCTGGGTTTGTCCAACTTGGAGAAAATATTCCAAAAAGAGAACTTTATTGCTATCTACAACTACCCAATGCAACCATGAAGAGAAGACAGAGGCAGACTCTTGTGTGATGATAGAATAAAAATACACACAAAGTAAAGAAAGGGAAATCCTCATTAGATATTAAGGGGTAAAAAAAAGTTCACCATGATGGTGGTCAAACATGAGAACAGGCTGTCCAGAGGGGTGACTGGATCTGTCTCTGGAAATAATAAAAAACTGAATCAAGAATACAACCAAACTGATCTTAGTCTGAAATCAGACAATTCAAAAGTTGGCCCTGCCTTGAGCTGGAGCTTGAGCTAGATGATCTCCTGTAGACCCCTGACACTTAAGCTCTTCTGAGTTGACAATTTATTCAAACCAGTGAAAAAGCATTACTAAATCAGAAGAGCAGCATTTCACAGCACCAATAACTATCAAGGTAATGGAGATTATACAACATCATCATCTTCATACACCCAGAAATGCAAAAATCACTGCTCAACAGACAGCTCTATCCACAGCTCAATCAGGTGACACAGAAAATGAGTTTTACACTTACCAAACTGGCCACTGTGCTTTATAAACAGTTCAATTACACCATAGGCAATAGTGGTCGCAGGAGGAATTTCAAGGATCACACTAGAATCCTTCATCATACTTCCATTTTCACTCACCGAAACCTAGAGGACAGATTTATTAACTGTTTATCTGATTCAGCTATTGTGTAGCTTAAACTCAGAATTAGTTGAGGGGAAAAAACAGAGAGAGAATGTGCTTTATTCTCCATGATATCTAACTAAATCAGGTTACGTTTGATGCCTATGAAAGGAACTAAATGAGCAGTGAGGTAGCAGTACAATGCCAAGAGCAGCACTCAAACTCTTAGCTACCCTGTCCTCACACAAAGGTTAAGCTCTAGGTGCAGCTTTTGTGACACATGAAACACAGTGTCACTAGGAAATGGGCACCCACCACAGTATCCTGCCCTCTTCTATCCTGACACCGCTTTTGCCCAGCTGGAGACTGGTACCAGGAAGGTGGCACTTGTGCAGATGGCTGTTGAACTGCAAATCCCAGATTTCTACTACTGGAGACACCCTGTACACAGAACTTATTCACCCACAGCTTTGAAAAACACCAAACCCAAAACAACTTAGAACTAGCAAGCATGTATTTTGACTTCAGCAATTTCTTCTCAATTCACAGGCAATTTTTTCTCAATTCATAGGCAGTTTTTCAGATATCATCACAATGCAGTTAATCTCTACACCCAATATAAAAAACCAAATAGCTTGTTAATATGTACTAAAACTCACTAGACACTGCAGACATTTTTGATGAATGACTACTTGGGTTTTCAAATAAATCTGCTTCAGCAATGCTTTTTGCTCTTCAACATTCACTGAATTGTTACATTTGGTGTATGTTCTGCTGTAGGCAGGAATCCACATAGAAGCTGAATCACAATTTGACAGTATTGATAGAAATCACATTCCAGGCTCACACTAAAAGATGGCATCTTTTGCCAGTGAGGCAATGAAAAAAAAACATTTTACCCTTCAGAAGTTTCACAGCTAAGCACTGCAGTGAGTTCTTACACCTGGGAGAGTTCAACATTAAAGAATCATGAAAAATATTCTGAAATCTATTCAGAGAAATCATAATTTTTTCTTAGTTAATCTGCAAATGTTTTATTCCTTGCAGTTTTTTTAATAACTTTTACCTTTACTATTTTTGTACTGCATCCCATCACTCCGCGGATTTTTTCTTCTGTCTGGGTATGTTCACATATCATACACTTCTGAGTTGTTATTATCTTTTCTCTCAAGATGCACAGCACTTCACGTTTTCTTTCTATTACTTTCTGCAGTAAACTACTGTTTAGATTTATTGTTCTGAAAAAGAAAAGAGGCCATTAACAACATAAATTCTAGAATTGAGAAAAAAACATTTTCTTTATTGCTTGATGAAGCTTCTATTGAAAAAAATAACAATGGTTTCTGTATGAGCAGTGTCCTCAAAATGATTATGTCCTCTTTTGTTATCTGGTAGCCATAATTATATGTATCACACAGTAAGTCCAAACACACATATTGAATTCTTGCTTTCTTAATCTGAGGAAAAATGGCAGTTTTCTGAATACTTTCTAAGCAAAAGAAAAAAACAAGGGAGAACTAAAGACAACTTTAAGCTTCCAGTGTAATATGAAAGCAATCAGCCAGGCTTGCGGACACTGAATTGAATCCTCTGCTACTCTGAACTCACTCTGACATCAACAGGTGACATTAACAGGTGACATTAACACAGTAGCAGAGTAACATCCCTGGCAGGGGATGCCAGGTAACCAGCCTCTTCAGAGTCTCACGTTAACACAGACAGTGTCAGTAAGTCCATGGGTCACATCCTGCAGTCTATACTCCAAAGAATTATTTCAATAAAAAAAAGTTAACAGGGAGTACAAACAAATGACCTGTGCTCACAATTCATATTATGAACTCCCTGCAGTCTCACACAGTAGTGCATACATTTAATAGCCTAATACATAATAAGAATGTAATATAATAGTATCATCCACTCATCACAAAGCTCTGCTCAGAAAGATTGAATGTGCAGTCAAGGCACTGGAAATCAAGAAACATACAGCCAGCAATCCTCCAGTCAGCTTAGTTTCTCCCTTTGCTATCAACTCCCATTTTTCCTTACAGTAGTTCTCAGTTTTTTTCTCTCTAACCTGTCTAGATCAAGTTCTGTTTCTTCCCCCTCCCTCTCATTCATCTCAGCTTTGTCCCACAGCCAGCCAGCTCAACCATCACACTTTGTGTGATTTTTCTAATGTCTTCTACCCTTAAGATGACACCAGCTGTCCATGGCTCTCAGCCTCAGTCTCCCCTCCTTTTCAGTTTATTGTCACCACTTTGCAGCCATCTGGCCAAACTCAGTGTAATTTATGTCCTGTTTACCATTCAGTCTTGTCACGCATCTTTGTATGTCCTTCTACCTGTTGTAGATGTGCCACCAGGTGCTCCTTAATATGGGAGGTGACGTGGGCTCCTTTGCACCCAAGTGCTGATGTCCAGACTCACCCGGGACTAGGACAGCTTGAGTTGATCACCATTAGGACTGCTGGCCTCTGAGGGCTCGCATGCAGGCAAAGTAGTGTCCTGACACGCTGCTACAAAGTCACCAGAATTTCCCCTTGAGAGATGAACAGCAAAGCCCCAGTGCCAACACTCACAGCTTGCTAAGGATCTGCAATGTCCCCTTAAGCCCTGGCCTGGCTTATTGTGATCAGCACTGACCAAGTATTTCAAATGGCTGAACGAGAAAACATGGAAAAGATTTCATGGCTTTTGGGACTGTAAAGTCCTGTGTTCTTCATCAGTATAACCTCACAATTTACAGGTAATAACCAGGACCTCCACAGTCAAAAAACAAATTCACTGTGTGAGAAACCTCAAATCTTTGGTCCAAACCTCCAACTGAACAAGTGATCTCTACTCCACAACATAATTCAGCGTGCGTTTAAAGGCTGCTGGAGGTATTTTCAAAGTTAAGTCCTTCTTAGAATGAGAAGCAAGTGAACTCCCAGAAATAATATGAGGATTATTTTCTAAGAAAAGATGACAAAAATTACTACCCTGTCTTCTGGGGTATTAACAGATTTTCTGGTAACAGTTAAATCAACTTCCTAACTGTATTTGATCTATTAAAACGCGCCATTTATATTAAGCTTTTGCAAAATAGCCATTGGATGTCCTCTGATGAGATGTCTTATATTCTATGAGCAGATAACTCCACCAAGACAGCTGGAAGATTACAAGATTGCTATCCCTGGCTCAACTTACTCAGTCTTTTCTCCTCCCTTTTCCTGTAAATGGCTTTTCATGGGGCTGAATGGCAATTCCCCCCAAATATGATGGAAAGACATGTCTGACTCTGCTTTATTTAAATCGATATATCTCTACTTTTAATTAAAAAGTTTTAGATTTATTAGATTCTGGAGTTTGGGATTTATGCAGTCTGTATAAGTCTGAAGTCAGCTTGGTTCTTTATTAAATTAAAAATATCCTGAGGCAATTTTTGATCTTCCCAGAGTTACATGCTTATATGAAAGTTCAATCAGTTGGAATGAACTGTCTGAATACCTTAAACTTGACTGTTTAAACATGGGAAAGAAAGCAATGCTTTTTTTACTGCAAGTAGAAAAGCACCACCAAACATTCCTGAGATTATTAATAACTTTTTTTCTTTTGGTGCAAAGCCATGCTTTATGCTTGGAATGCAATGAATTTTTGGATTAAGCAACAACAGAAGAAATGTCAAGCAATCACAAACACTGCTGCACTTAGAAATGTCTGCCAAACCAGACCTATTAGTTATCACAACAACAGACCATCCAGCCTATCATATACTTCACAATAATAATTATGATTCTGAAGAAGTGTGCTAAGCATCTTGAAAATACAAATTAAGGCACTAAGAACTTGAAGTTTTAACATTCAACCTCAGAAACCACTGGGGAAGAAATACCATGAAGAAGCACAAAAGCAGTTTGTCATTTACTTTCATATGATGTATTTTTTGCCTGCTTTAGAGGATGACAAACTCACCAGACATCCCTTAAAGCTATAGTAAAACAGGAAAAGAAACAAAACAATTTAAGGTAGAAAAATACAGATTATTGAGATTTGCAGTTTCTGAATGAATGTTAACATGAGAAGCATACAGAATATGATTTAATTCATAACAAAAGAATGACCAAAATAATTCAAGAGACTGCTACAGCATTCTGCCCGAGGTGGGACTGGCTCAGACTCCTGAACACTCTTGGCCACTGCCTCAGCCCCAAGAGTCAAGTGACTTTAATGAGATGCAGTCAACTGGAAAACTGGCAGAAATGCTTTCCTCTTCCCACTTAGTGAGCAAATCCCACCAGATTCAGAGCTTTAAAACATGTACTTTTACCAACTGCTACACATACCTTCCTTTTAGGACAGCACAGTTAAATGTTCTCTAGACTTCTGGCACTGAACTTTGTCATAAAACCCCTTAGATTCTTAGTGTTCTCTGCACAGCTTATCACTGGGGCACAGACTGTGGAAGGCAAAACATTCTGCTCTTCTCAGTGACTCAAACAGGAGACAACATGAGGTAAGGAAATACCCAGCTTATCTACATTATCATTGAAAATAGCTATCAAGAGCAAAATGCAACGGGGTTAAAGTTTGACAGAGAAGAGCTTGAAGTACTGCAGGGCAATGGCTGCTGAATCTGAGTGTATTTTCTGCCAAAGCTGAACTCATTTGCTAATATAACATTCAGATGTTGATTTAAACCTCTGAGAATACAAGCATGCAGGCACAGGAATTGCACAGCATTATTCTTTATTTTACAGGTTCCGCTTCAGAGCTTCTATTTCTGTCCTATAACCACCACTCTTTCACCATCTACTGTACAAGAGCCGTCACTGATCTTGTGTGACCTGTACTACACCACTTCTCCTTCCCACCACAAAAATCTGAGCTGAAGTACTCAGAAGTAACACTACAAAAAACACAGTAAGATGTTGGTTTGCTAAGTCCCATTATCAACACATGGGGATGAGCCTGTATAAAGATAATTTCAAAGATTTTTATTGTTGGTTCTTAAATAACCTTCCTGAGGTCAACGATTTACTGTGCTGGAAGCTCTGTAGCTCAAACATAAACAGAAAAGAATTTCTTTGAGCTTTGGTCTCACTCTCTCCATATTTAATTGGATTAAACACCTCCATTTTTCCTTCACTTTTATTCAACCTTTTTCTTCCTGTGTGAGGAAAGCAGTAGAGAATAGAGAGGCACAAAGGCAATTTGCTGCAGACTGGAAACAGAAAACAAGGGAGAAAGGCAGAAACTAATGGAAGGCAAAGGAAAGAAAGACAACATTTGGCAGCAGAGCAGGCTCACACAGTTAAAGGAGAAGGCAGGAGCCTGCTCTAAATCCCACAGTTGAGACTGAGGGTCTTCCCTTCAGGTACAAAACTGCTGACCACACCATCCACAAAAGAGGTGGCTAAGACCATTTTTCCATCAAATCCTCTCTAGCCTTCTCAGTAACCCACCCCATAAATCCTCAAAGCAAGGAGCTTGCAAATTTACGATGAATACCAAAAAGAATGGTTACTGCTATGAGTACTCTCCATCCTCAGTCTGAAGTCACCACTGTTGCCTGCCTGCACAAATTTTCGCTACTTCAAACTACTGACGAGTGAAAAACCTTTTCAGCTCTGCACTGGGCAACATCACCTTAACAGGGCCATTCTCACAGCTGCAGAGACATGGGTGGCCCACTCTCACAGCCTCACCCAAATGCAGCTTCTTCCGTAACATCCACATGACTAACTTCAAAACATCTCTCGCTGCTCTGCCAGAAATTATCCACTTCCTTTATAATGTGCAATATCTGCCATCGTCCACACAAATGCTGTTTGCGGCACAGTGAGAGCTCTCACCCAAATTTGCTCCTTCTCTAAAGACCTCTGGATAAATCCATGGATTAAAATCCACCTGACCTTGCTTTGTCACTTTCCATAAGGCACAGGCACATAATATTTCTTTGGATAATCTGTTTCAAATATAACCTTTCTGACCTACTTCTTACAGTCACATTGGAACACAGTCTCTGCTATAGTCAACTTATTGATAGCATTTCACAATTTTGCCTACAGAATAACCTGACAATTATTTCATAGAACATCTTCTGCAAGAATGCCAAACACTTTTGAGAGTGCAAGTGACAGACAGTTCACCCTCTTTATTTGTTAAATCAGACACACAAAACTGATTTTGTTGAATCCTGTCTCGTAACATTCTGTGACTTCATATTATCCATGTAGCACCTTTGGTAAAAAATGGAACGGTTTTCTCATCATCAATCGTACCAGAGTATACTACTGCTAACACCTGAGTATTTTAATATGCTAATTAGAGAGTTAGGAGTCATTCACATGAAATGACAGAAGTGTGACAGGCAAGCCTCTCTGCACCCAATATGTACTGACCAACTGCTGCCACATAGTCCTCTTTCTCTCTGCTGTCTCCGTTCTCTCAGGACTTCTATTTCCATCACCCAACACAACTTAGCGAAATGGTAAAAGCAAATGAATTTGTTAATCCATGACAACTACAGAGATTACAACCTCATCGTAATCATTTTCATTGAAGGGAAATACAGACCAGTTGAGGTTGGAAGGTCATCTGGCCCAACCTCTCTGCTCAGGCAGGGACACCTAGCGCAGGCTGCCAAGGATCATGTCTCCAAGGTGGGAGACTCCACAGGCTCTCTGGGCAACCTGTGCCAGTCCTCAGTCACCCTCACTGTAAATAAAAGTGTTACCTGATGTTCAGAGTCTCCTGTTCTGTCACTGGGCATCACTTTAAAGAGCCTGGCTCCAACCTATCTGTATCCATCCTTCAGATATTTACACACAATTGAGCAGCTCCCCACTGAGCTGTTGGCTCACGTCCAAATGAGTGTCCACCAGGAATCCTACATGCTTTTCTGCAAAGCTGCTTTCCCGCTGGTCAGCCCCCAGCATGTACTGATGCCTGCGGTTACTCCATGTGCAGAACTTTGCACTTCCCTCTGTTGACTGTGTGAGGTCTCACCAGCCCAGCCTGTTGAGGTCCCTCAGGGTCAGTGTGACCCTCTGGGTGTATCAACCACTCCTCCCAGTTTTGTGTTGTCAGCAAACTTGCTGAGGATACACTCATCACCCAGGTGACTAATGAAAATGTTGAACAGGATTGACCCAAATATTGTCCCCTGGGGTACACCATTAGTCATTGGCCTCCAACTGAACTGTGCCACCAATCAATACTCTCCAGGCCCAGACATCCAGCCAGTTTTCAGTCTACCTCCCTGTCAACTCATCCAGCCTATACTTAATCAGCTTCTCTATGAGGATCTTATGGCAGACAGTACTGAAAGCCTTAAAACAAGAGATGGAATATACTGTTAAATCCATAGCAATCTCACCGAGTTAAGGGCATAGAACTCTGACCTAAAATCAATATGCTACAGTACTCTGTGAATTAGCAAGCACATTATAATACAAAAAGCAAGCATTATGTATCATAAAATATGCCAAATTTATATACCTAGAAGTACCACTTAAGTTTATTTTCATATTGCATGTTCTGTAAGTGTGTTCTGTATTTAAAGTGTCATTGCTCCTGCAAATCAGAAAAGATCTCCTCTTGCATCCTTCAACTGTCATCCCTTTTCAGAAAAGGATTGCTATGTGGCATCTGGAATCTAATTAAAAGATCAGTAGGATTCTCCTCCAGAAGGTTCACATAAAGGTGACAGGAAACTGATTAGCTGCAATTCAGTACTTCCCATTTGTTCAACCTTGAAAACTCACGACTTTGTCCAGAAGCCATGTCAGCTTTGACTTTTTTCAAGAGTTTTCTGCTATTTATCTGCAACTTTGACTTACAAGATTAACACTTTAAAATGCAACTTTATTAGGCCATATATGTGGAAATAAAAAATGAAACAATGATTGAACAAACAAGCACCAGCAACGTATCTTATTAGATGAAATCAACACTTAGCTGACTCTGATCTCACAAGGACCGATGCGTAAACATCATCTTAGTACCATAACGCTTTGCATCCAAAAATCACTAACTTCTAGGCATCAGCTACTCCTGAATGCTGAATTCCTGAATTTCACACAATTCTCCATGAACAAGATGAAAGCTAGAGGCTTGGACACAAGCCAGCATAAAATATTTACGAACGAGTAACTGCAATTCCATTTGTATGGCACTGCCACAGTTCCCAGTGAGCCTCAGTGATACGCTGAAGAAAAAATAAAAACTATGCTATCCTCATAATTTTCAGGGCCCTGACAGAAGCCAGACTGTGTATTAATTATATACATTTCATCATAAGCCTTAATACTCTATGAGCATCTTCTCTATGAACTAAGACCTAGCTCCTTGTATAAAGGGGCACACACATTAGCCCCATTTATAGTTAGACTCAGATCAGCATAGAGCTACTGATTTTCCACACTCAAAAGAAGATAATGTATTTGTAAGTATTTAGCTACATTCAGGATTACAACCTCAGGATGTGCTGAAGTGAATTTAATTTGCTATGGGAGGATTATTTGTTTGAACAGAGCAGGTAACTTACTGAAGAAAACTAAGTAAAAGCTTACTGATCTGAATAGAAGTTACTCCTGTTTGGTTTTGTATAGGACTCTATCTAGTGGTAGAAACAAGATTCTAAACCTTGACTGACACTTTTTTTCTGATACTAGATGCATACTAATTTTACAGGCCTGGTACACACATTTACCCTGGTATTTTCAGCTTTTAACAAAGCATTTAGTGTTGACTTGTGAAAGCTCAAAATAAAAACAACAGCAGGCACCTGTTCCTGTGAAAATGGAGAATTGATTATTTCTAGAACACCAGTATATCTAAAGAAAATTTACACTGCTTCTGACAACTATTGCACTGATAAGAAAAATCTGTCATCTTTGTCTTCAGAGCATCAGCAAAGGCTATTAAAATGTATGACACCATCTTCTACAGATCTAGGGCACAAGGCTGTCACAAATGAACCATCCTCATCTCCCATGAGTCAGGACCTGCAAAACCCAGTAGACCTCTGACCTGCCAGCTGCTTGCCAAGTAAGCTTTGGTCCGTGACTGTCTTACTGCAAGATTAAACAGGATAAGAAGTGTTGTGTATCTTGTAAAATTAAGAATACAGTTTGGAAAATCTGGGGTTTTCTCCTCAGTTATTAAGAGTGTATAAGAGTGCAAAATAGATCTATAACGTGCATTTTGTTCAAAATGCACTAACCATGCTTGCTCACTTTTACTACTCCTTCAACTTCAAATAGCCCAATTTTCTAGCACAGTCACTCACACACACAAAATTATAAAGCCTGCTTACAAGAATATTCTTGTAAGGTAGTTCTGAATTCAGTTGCCACTGCATTTGCCCCAGTGACAGAGAGAAACCAATCCATTTGTTTTTCCAGATTCTTACCTTGAGTACAGTCCCCCAAAGAAGGGAGGATTTGGTTCTTGTTCCATGTGGTAATTCATGAAATTGCAGAGTGATTTATTTAAAATGAAAGGGAAAGGTTTGACCACCAAGCTTTAAAAATCTGGAAATTTTCATTTTCGTATAGATTACCTATTACCTGAAAATAAGACCTTACAATAAAAATAATCCTCAAACTATGACAACACTAAAGAATCAATGACACAGTGATCACAACTGGCCCAAGTATTTCAGCTCAGTGATCTTTCCTGGCCATTACAATGCCCACCTTAAAAACATACCTATCCTTGACGTCTTTCATAAGCTGCTGCAAGTCAATCTCCTGCTTCCTCAGGTTTCCAAATGAGGACTGGTTTTCCACATAGCCCTTCCCTCCAGCTCCCAAGCTGACCTTTCCAAATGATGCTTCAATACTTCCTTGAACAAAATCTTCAAACTTCCCAGTATATTTTGCAAAGTCAGACTCCACAATTACTAGAAAAGCAACAAAAGTAATTTTTACCTGTGAAGAGAAGTGCTGAAATAGTCCTGAAGTTATTGGAAAAACAGAAACTTACGGAAAATATGAAATGTTAGTGAAGGCAACGAACAGCACCCAGCAGGTCAATAATGACATTTACAGCTCTGCAACTCTTACTTCTGCTTCCTCCATATTTTCACCATCTTTGCCCCACTATCTTTCATATTTTGCCATTTAAGGAACACATAAGGTGACTGAAATGCTCTGCTATGCAAGTGCTATGCAAGATTTATAAAGAATGATTGAAACTTCTTTCAGCTACAAGGGAAAACTACAAAGCAGACCTGCTTGTAAAACAGCATTAATATTCTCCCATTATCTCAACTTATCTCAGTATAGGGGCTGTCCCAAAGCTCACTGAAAACCAATGGAAGCACCTAATTGGCTTAAAAAAACCCTGAATCTTATATACATCTAAACCAAAAAAACTGACACAGAATCAGCTAATCTTCCAAGCCAGCTACAATTAAAATCTAAACTTAGGGACTTATCTCTTTTCCTACATGGAATTGAGACATGCCCAGAAAGATGGGACACCAGATCATTAATCCTAAAATCTGGCTAGGACTGCCACAGCTGGATGAAGAAAGAACAAGGGTCAACTCTTTTTAACAGTCTGTGCAAGAAAGGAAGTGGTGGTAAAACTTGCTTGGCCTTGCTGGTGCAAGCATTCCCTGGGCTACTATCACTAACAGGGCACTGTTTATCCAGTGCTTTTTGACATGGAGCACAGTGTGTTTTCATGCTATTATCACATACTGGAATCCTGAAAGAAACATAGAATCATAGAATGGTTTGGGTTGGAAGGGACCTCAAGGATCATTACTTCCAAACCCCCTGCATGGGTAGGGACACCTCCCACTAGATTAGCTTGCTCAGGGCCCCATCCAACCTATCTGTGAACATTTCCAGGGATGTGGATTCCACAACCGCCCTGAGCAACCTCTTCCAGTGTCTCACCACCCTCCTAGAGAAAAATTTCCTCCTAATGTCTCATCTAAATCTCCCCTCTTCCAGTCTTCAGCTATTACCTCATGTTCTCTCACTATTAGCCCTTGTAAAAAGTCCCCCACCAGCTTTCCTGCAGGCCTCCTTCAGCTACTGGAAGGCCACTCTAAGGTCTCCCTGGAGCCTTCTCCAGGCTGAACAGCCCCAACTCTCTCAGCCTATCCTCATAGCAGAGGTGCTCCAGCCCTCAGATCATCTTTGTGGCCCTTCTCTGGATTTTCTCCATGAGCTCCATGTCCTTCTTATGTTGGGAGCTCTAGAATTGGGCACAGTACCCCAGGTGGGGTCTCACAAGAGCTTTATTCTAGGGGAATTTTAGGGAAAAAAATATACCAGGGGAGCTCCTGTGGCTGCAGACAGCACCATTATTAAACAGTAGGCTTCTTGACAACCTTCAGCACTAAATTTCAGCAGCCTATCTAGGCAAAATATTTCTATAATTTTTTTAAAAAAACATTTATTACTATTGGTTTTAATTAAATGAATAGTCAAGTGAGAAAAGATCCAGTAATTTCATATCCATGGATGGAGAACACTTCAGACCATTCCTCTGAAAGGAGCCCCCTTGTAATACGATTGAGAATAAGAATAACAAAGACGAGGCTTTGCCCTCTTCCTATCTGCAATAACAGTGCTGCCCAAGTATGGCTTTACCTGGTTTTATCGGTTTGTCTTCAGTAAGCACATCATTCAGGGTGACTGTCAAGAAATGATACTTGGGCTTCTGCCAGCACCAGAATTTCTTCCTTTTTGTAACTAAGCTCAGAAGCTGCAGCTTGTCTGAAGCATTCAAGTGGGACACAGCGATCAAGTCACCTCCGCTGTCAGTTTCTCTCACAAAATTCTTTGTTGCTTTTGCAAACATTTTGGGGAATCACTTAAGACCTGAAAGAATACATGTTTTTCAAAAACTACAGCTGGAAAGTGTAAATATTTACATTATCAGTTTAAGAAGCTTTTCATAGTATTGGTATTAGTGCAGGAACATCTAGTGTTTTCACCCCAACTTCTCCACTCTGAGCTGGGAGTCGTGACAGTTATCCCAAAGTCCAAAGGTCCCCACAGTTAGAGATGAAAGAATTTTAGTTAAAATTTTAAATAAGCAACAGTGAATAAGCAAAGAACAATGCACTGCAAACACAATATACAAGGCTTAAACATTACAACAGTAACACCTTAAATTTATGACCACATAGATAATGAAGAAAACAAACAAACGTGAGAAAAGAAATACTCCACTCAGCAGCTGGGAAGCTCCTTCAAGGAATCCTCACAAGTGCTTAGTCTGTTGGGCAGGAAAAAGCAAACCTTACCTGAAGTTCTAAGAAAAGGCATCTAGTAATGAGCACCCTGCAGAGACCGGCTGGGATGATGAGAGCACTGGTGCAATGGCAGAGGATTTCTGCCTCCACGCAGAATTCTTCTTTTATTACCTAACATAAAATTATCTTACTCCATATAAGGTAACGGGTTATTAGTCACACAAACTATCTTGATCGTCTGAACAGTGTGTAAACATATACAGGGATAATACAAATTATTCTATAAAAAGCAACAAACATTTGTGTTGGCATCTTTGTGACCAAGTTTTGCTTCTGGACTATGCCCTGGAAACATCTCAATTTTTTACTTTCTGAACCATTTTACCTTGAATGTTTTCCAATCTTCCATTTTCCATTAGTATAACTACAGTTAAATTGAACATGTTATTTGCAACTGCTATTCATACCTGCTGATCAGCTACATTCATTATCTTATTCTAGCTTTTAAAGATCTTCAATTACAAAATATTTGTATCTCTTATTGTGTAAGATTTCCTTTATCCCAAGAAATGCATTTTGCTGTATTTACAAGTGTGAACAATTTAAATAATGGAAACTGGCTAAATATTAAAAATGACCACTCACAACTGCTAAACACACAATTCTAAAAAATTAATTTTTCATCTTTAAAAAAAATATAATATTGTTTAGTTTTTCAACTCTGTGTTACTTGAGCTAATTATGTTTCCAGAACTACATCAGTTTGCTAAAGTTGGCAGCATTCCTCTGAATTGCCCAGCTGACAATGACTGGAAAGTTCAACTAAGAGCATAAGATGTCTTAGCTGGATACCTGCATGTTCATGATTAATTACGTGTCTCACTCTGCAGAGATGTTAGATTCATCATTTACAAATACCAGCCAGAGTAAGTTAGAACAGACTTCAAACAAAAACTGATATTGCAGTAGGCAATGAGGAATATTGAGAGAACATAGAAAACTAAGACGTAAATCTCTGGACCACTGGCTCCATGTTTTAGTATAACCTGAAGGACAGGGGGAAACAAACAAAAAAAGCCTTTTTGCAAATGAGAACTCAACCTTTCCTTTAGCTTTTTCCAAATCCCATTTCAGGTAACATTTCACAGAGTATTTATTGATTTGTGTTCAGGCATCTACCTTCTCATGAAACCCCCATGGCCTATTCTTAGCTCTCTACCTAAGCAAGTAAAGGGTGTTTCCCAACAACACCTGCATGGAGAGGATTCCAGGATGTCAAAGGCACATAACATTTTACTGAAGGGTCTTCTGGACTTTAATTGCAATTGTAGCTGCAACAAACATCACAACAGCCCCCGCTGTATGCAATGGGAATATCTCCACTTATTTTCTTGCTCTTTCAGCTTTTACTTAACAAGACCGATTTTTTTGTGTTCTTAAAGTTCTCCTCCTTAATTTCCCTGATTTTAACCTCAGTGAGAACACCTTTAACAGAAGGAGCAATGCAGCTCCACTGCAGCAGAAAAAAAATCCCACAAACAAAAACAAAGCAAAGCAAACAAACCAATGCCCAAAGAGCCCCAAACCCTAATTTTCTTTTTCCCTGGGACTCCTGCATGATGCCATATTTCACAACCAACCAGATCACTGATTTGTACAGGAAGGGACCATTAAGAAAAGTCTCATTGCCTGCATTAGCTACTCTTCCCCAGCATAACCTTCTCCAGATGCGCATTACATGACTGTTCACTCATTCTGATCCCATCCCTACCTCCATCAACCCATGTGGGATTAGTCTCTGAGAAGAAAAAGACCCACCAATTCCTGAGGAGTTTTTTGTGAGACAAATGGCAAAAAACAGTTCCTAGGATTTTGTATTGCTACACACTCTCTAAATCTCATGAGAAGAACCATCAATTAATTCTACAAAACTTCCAATTCATGGTGGTTTGCCATCACTACCAGTCACTGTGCTTCTGACTACCAAAAAAGACATCTGGGAAAGACCACAGAGCACTTACAAGGGCTGCTGACACTCACTAGGCAGAAGAGATGGGACTATCTTCAGCCTTGGTGTCAGCATCAGCCTCTCCCACACTCCGCTGTGCTGGGAACATCTCTACAGGGAGCACATTTGCTGGTGCAGAGCTTGCACGTGCAAAGCCAGAGTGTTCTATCCAAATTCCTGCTTGTGCCTCTTCAGACATAGTGCATTTAACATAAATTCTAAAATGTGCACAAGTGTCATGTTTCACTAGTTCACAAAACAAAGACATGGACTATGCCCTTAGCCAATGTCAGGGAGGTAGTACAGGTACCAGGATCCACAGCATCCTGACTAAACAGGACACGGAGCAGTTCCAGACACACCATTAAGGAAACTCTGCATCTGGAGCTTCTTCTTCTGGAAATTTTGTTAGAGCTGTACTTGGTTTGGCAGAATTAAAAGGGAAGGTATCAAAGCTAGTAGGAAAAGCCTGTCAAGAGTGAATTCACTCTTGCAGACTGATAGCTAGGCATGAAAGCAGAAGAGGAAGGAGGTCCCTCCTCGCCTACCAAGAAATTTAAAATTTGCCTGGAACTGAGTTACAGGAGGGCTGTTCGGTGAAGGGGATGAGATCAAGTGAAGATATTTACAGCAAGTTAATTGTTTACTCAAGCAAACAAATCTTACCCTCCTTCTTTATCACAGCTCCCTAACTCAATATTGTAGAACATTTGATCCAAATAAACATTTTACGAATAATCAGTGTTTACCTTTGTCAGCACAAAAGTAAGTTCTCAACAGCTGCCCAGCATTTCTTACACTCCACATGCATTTACACTGACCTTTAATAAAACCACCTTATTTCTCCATTCAACATAAGATTACCCAGCACACCTGGCACAGCACACAGGGAATTTGGGAAGAGGGTAACAAATGGATCACCAAACGTCAGCGTGTCCCTTGCCAACCCAGGCTTTAGGGAAGGCCAGAGATGACCGTGCAGGAGCCCCGGTGTCAGAAGAGCCATCGGGCACCAACTTTGCTCTGCGGCAGCGGCAACGGCCCCTGAATCCTAATGAAGTCGGAGTTTATGGCAAGAAGCGACTACGGCTCCGAAATGACGACAAGCAGGACGTGTGTTTTACTACAGAGCCTCACGGCTGGCTTCACCTCCTTTCCAGATCACGTAAAAACCAGCTCAGAAAATTAAAATCTTATTTTCATTAATAAAAAAGCAAAAACTCTCTAGAATTTGTTGTTACTTTTTTCACATGGCACTGAAGTAAAAAATTGTAAGTTTTCTAAAAAACCAGCCACAAAAGCTACCACAACGCAAAGCAGGTACGTCCGCGCCACAGAACGCAGCCCTTGAACGCACGTGGTCCCTCAAAAAACCTCGAATACATTCCAGCCCTGGGCCTGGCCCTCCCTTGTGCCCCGAGGCGGGAGCTGCGGGAGCTGCGGGATCGGGCCCGGGCCGGGACAGAGGGGGCCCGC